TCATGAGGCACACCTGGACTTCATCACTCCTTGATTACTCCCCCTTTATTTAGCCCTCAGTTGTCTTCAGTCACTAGGTGTTATTGTTTTCTCTCACGTTCTGCATGCGCCGCACGTTTGTTGATCTGCATCTGTTATTTATTAAAATTACCTTCTGCACCTGTTTCCTGACTCCCGGCGTATACGTTACAGAATAACACTTCAACAGTATGGAAGCAGCAGAAGATTTACCCTCGTCCAGACGGTTAACGAACAAGGTCGAACAAGGTCATCTACTCCATCAATACCACGACCAGCTGGTGAAACTGGGTACGGCCACCGCCTCGACACCACCAGCGAGGTTCTCCATTCCCCTATCAGAGGGCCTCCTACCACGGGTCATCACAGTGAGCCAGCCCCCCAGCCCGCCCAGGTCAGCGATGCCCAACTATCCCTTCAGGATAAATATTACGGCACTCCATCGAAATGCCGTGGCTTTCCTACTCCCAGTGCTCCCTCTATTTCGCCTATCAGACGGTAGCCCCGACCACCAAGAGGTCAAAGGTTGCCACTGTAATTTCCCTGCTGACCGCTACGGCCTTCTGGGAGAGAGGAGAGGAGGAGCTGGGGTCCTATGAGAGGTTCATGGCTCTTCGACCTCCAGAGGTTTCCAGCTCCGGAAGAGTGCCCAGACCGCTGCTGAGTACGCCTTCATCTTTCGGACTGTGGCAGCTTCCAGCGGATGGAATGAGCCGGCGCTCGGCACTCTACTCTGCAGTGGACTGCAACGAGGAGGTCCAGACAGAGTTGGCATGTCAGGATGACAATATTTTCTTGGAAGCTCTCATCTCGATGGCCATCCCGTCTGGATAACCTTCTGCAGGAGCACCAGTGTCCACCTCGCCACTCGCCTCCCTCCTTTTGGATGTCCTGAGGCAGAACCTGAACCCACGGAGGTAGGGGCCACACACTTCTCCACGGCAGAGCGGCGTCGCCGGAGACAGCTGGGGCTCTGCCTCCCTATTGCGACCAGGAGGGGCAACAGCTTCTGTGGTGTCCGGTGCGCCCTAACCCGGGGTCCACTAGAGTAGAGGGCCGGCCCAGGCGTGAGTATCCCATTTTCATTGTTTTCCACCAAACCCTTTTACGGTTCCTATTTCGCTGGCTGTCCCTCAAGTGTTGTCTCTACAGCTCTAGTGGACTCCGGTGCTGCGGGGAAATTCATCGACCAGGCCCTCGCCTCCTCCCTGAACTTAATCTCATACCCGCTCTCCTCTCCTTTTCCTATCCAAGCTCTGGACACACGACCATTGGGATCCGGCACAGTTACGCACATCACCGCACCACTCACCCTCACCGTAGGACCCATGCACCAGGAAAGCCTACGCTTCTTCATCCCCTCAGCACCTGTACACACAAAGTAATCCTCGGCCTCCCGTGGCTCCAACGTCACAATCCCACCATCACATGGTCGAGTATGAAAAGTACCGACTGGGGACCAGAATGCCAGAGGACCTGCTTTCCCGTACCCTGTGGTTCCACGCCGGTTGAGGGCCCTGTGAGTGCCCGCCAGTCCTCTAATAATTTCACATTCCTTATATTAAGCAAACCAGATGGCATGATTTTGTTGTTTTATTATTTTATGGATAGCCAGGGGTCAGCACTCCAACACTCGGACATAATTCCGGAGACATTTGAAACCCCACCTCTTTAAGGAATACCTGGGATAGGATAAAGTAATCCTTCAAGGCCTACCTTCAAACTCAGTGCCTCTTTGCTTGACATCATGGGAAAATCAAAAGAAATCAGCCAAGACCTCCACAAGTCTGGTTCATCCTTGGGAGCAATTTCCAAACGCCTGAAGGTACCACGTTCATCTGTACAAACAATAGTACGCAGGTATAAACACCATACCGCTCAGGAAGGAGACACGTTTTGTCTCCTAGAGATGAACGTACTTTGGTGCGAAAAGTGCAAATCAATTCCAGAACAAAAGCAAAGGACCTTGTGAAGATGCTGGAGGAAACAGGTACAAAAGTATCTATGTCCACAGTAAAACGAGTCCTATATCAACATAACCTGAAAGGCCGCTCAGCAAGGAAGAAGCCACTGCTCCAAAACCACCATAAAAAAGCAAGACTACGGTTTGCAACTGCACATGGGGACAAAGATTGTACTTTTTGGAGAAATGTCCTCTGGTCTGATGAAACAAAAATAGAACTGTTTGGCCATAATGAGCATCGTTATGTTTGGAAGAAAAAGGGGGTGCTTGCAAGCCGAAGAACACCATCCCAACCGTGAAGCAAGGGGGTGGCAGCCTCATGCTGTGTGGGTGCTTTGCTGCAGGAGGGACTGGTGCACTTCACAAAATAGATGGCATCACGAGGAAGGAAAATTGTGTGGATATATTGAAGCAACATCTCAAGACATCAGTCAGGAAGTTAAAGCTGGGTCGCAAATGGGTCTTCCAAATGGACAATGACCCCATGCATACTTCCAAAGTTGTGGCAAAATGGCTTAAGGACAAATAAGTCAAGGTATTGGAGTGGCCATCACAAAGCCCTGACCTCAATCCTATAGAAAATGTGTGGGTAGACCTGAAAAAACGTGTGCGAGCAAGGAGGCCTACAAACCTGACTCAGTTACACCAGCTCTGTCAGGAGGAATGGGCCAAAATTCACCCAACTTATTGTGGGAAGCTTGTGGAAGGCTACCCGAATCGTTTGACCCAAGTTAAACAATTTAAAGGCAATGTTACCAAATACTAATTGAGTGTATGTAAGCTTCTGACCCACTGGGAATGTGATGAAATAAATAAAAGCTGAAATAAATAATTCCCTCTACTATTATTCTGACATTTCACATTCTTAAAATAAAGTGGTGATCCTAACTGACCTAAGACAGGGAATTTTAAATGTCAGGAATTGTGAAAAAATGAGTTGAAATGTACATTTACGTCATTTAGCAGACGCTCTCATCCAGAGCGACTTACAGGAGCTATTAGGGTTAAGTGCCTTGCTCAAGGGCACATCGACAGATTTTTCACCTAGTCGGCTCGGGGATTAGAACCAGCGACCTTTCGGTTACTGGCACTACGCTCTTAACCACTAAGCTACCTGTGTTTGGCTAAGGTGTATGTAAACGTCCGACTTCAACTGTACATTCCCACAGGGAATCGGCTGGTAACCTGGGCACACACATCCCTCGCCGCTGGACACCCAGGTTTCACCCGCACCATCCAATCCCTCTCTGAAAAGTACTGGTGGCCCACCTTGGCGTAGGACGTCACCCACCGTGTCAACTCCACATGTCCAAATCTCCCCGGAACGCTCCAGCAGGGAAACTACTTCCCCTTCCCGTGCCTCAGCGGCCCTGGTCACATTTGTCCATAGACTTTGTAACTGATCTTCCCCCTCTCTGATGGTTTCACCACTATTATGGTTGTTATTGACAGATTCTCTAAATCCTGTCGTTGTATCCCTCTCTCTGGAGTCGCTATCGCTCTCCAGGTTGCTGAGGCACCGTTCCAGCAGGTCTTCCGGTACTATGGCCTTCCGGAGGACATCTTTTCTGACCGTGGTCCCCAGTTCACGTCGCGGGTCTGGAAATCCTTTATGGAGAAGCTGGGGGGTCACGGTCAGCGTCACATCCGTGTACCGGTCTCAGTCCAACGGGCAGGTGGAGAGGACTGGACCTGGGGAGGTGAGTGGGCCCGGTTCCATCCCTGGGCGGAATACGCCCAGAACTCACTTTGACACTCCCTTCCAGTGCGCCCTGGGATATCAGCCAGCCCTGGCTCCGTGGACTCTGAGCCAGACCGAGGCCCCTGCAGTGGATGCAGTGGTTGAGTAGTTCCGGCGAGCATGAGCAGGTGTGGAACGCCGTCAGAAGGATCAGGCGGACCGCCACCGCAGTGAGGCTCCAGTGTTCCATCCTGGTGATCGGCATCTGGCTCTCCACCAGGAACCTCCCACTCCGCCTGCCCTGCCGGAAGCTGAGCCCCCGGTTTGTGGGGCCCTTCAA